TGGTCACCAAGTGCTCAAGATCCCTCCACTTCAGGAACCTGGCTGCACCAAACAGTGCTTCCCGAGAGGCCTGCAGAGCAGCAGAGAGCGGGCCATGGCACCGCAGCCCAGGGCACAGCACCTGCATCCCTGCACCAAGGCCAGGAGGAGGCTGCAGGCGACCATGGGCCTGGGCAGGAGGCACAGCAGCCTCCTGACATGGGGACACCAGAGCCCACGAGTCCTCACCTCTGCCACACGCTGGTTCTCATCGTGCCAGTTGAAGTAGAATGGCACCAGCCTCAGGTAGACGTGTGGCTTTAGGCTTTTGCTCCTCTCTGTCACTTCCATCACCTCCCGGAAGAGGACCATGGAGAGCTGCTGCAGCTGGCTGTGCTCCTGCTGCAAAGGAAGAGCAAAAGACCTCAGCCCTGGCTTCTCCAGGCCCACCGGGGCACAGGCCTGAAAAGACACTGGGACCAAAGTTTCCTGGAAGCACTCAGTGCCCACGATGAGGGGCACAGAGCCTTACATTGTCAAAGAGTGGCCGCAGTGCCTCAAGTAACTTCAGGGCAGTGGGGCTGGATATTTGCATGATTTTCAAGTGCAGCACATTGATCAACGCAGAGAGGGTCATCTCAACCGCGTCTGTATCTGCATCCTGCAGTAGCTCCAGGAGGCTTTCATTCAGGCTCCAGATGCTCTTAGCCTGTGTGGAACACAATGCTGTGGTGCAGCCCCACGCTGCTGCTGCGGGGCCCAGAGACCAAAGGCATGTCCCAAAGGAGTCGGGCAGCTGAACGGGGAGGAGGAGAGCTGGGAGCAGCTGACACAGCTGCCAAAGGCCAGCCAAGACCAAGCTACTGCCTTGCACAGCCGCACGCTGCCGGCCCGGCTTCAGCCCCTGCCCCCTGCTCACCAGTGCAGGAGCCTTGCTGATCACCACCAGGCCTCGGAGCGCCAGGCGACGCCTCTCGGGGCACTCCCTGCGCAGACGCCTTGAAATAATCTGCAGGACGCTGAGCCCACATTGTCTGGGGTTCAGGCAGTGCAGCACCTGAAAGGCAGGGAGCAGTGACGGGGTGCCCGGCCGGCAGGAGCCCGGACCCGCCCGGGGCTGGGCCCAGGCAGCAGCACAGGGTGCAGGCACCGTCCCAGGCGGCTGCGGCTGTGAGAGGGCAGAGAGGGGGAGGCAGCTGGGCCAGGCAGCACTCGCCATCAGGCTCACCTCCACCAGGAATGCCAGGGCAGGCAGTTCCCACAGGGGCTCTTCCCTGCTGAGCCGCGGGAGCAGGCTGACGGCGATGCTGCGGCAGAAGGAGCGCGAGACACGACACAGCTCCCTGCAAGGGGGAATAAAGGCACCAGAGACCCTGAGCCAGGTGGGCAAAGCTCTCCTGGGACTGACTCACACAGGCCTGGCCTTTGGTCACCAGCCCGGGAGGGGACACGGGCGCTTTGGGAGGTGGCTCCTCCTGTGCAGCCGCCCCTCTCCGCCTTTGCCACTCTGCTCAGCCATCCCTGGCTGACAAGGCCCTCTGGCCCAGCAGCACGGGCACTGTGTGGGGTGGCCTGTGCACAGGGCAGAAATGCCGGGGGCAGTGGGGAGAAAGGGCTCTCACCTGGCCAGCAGACCCACTGCATAGTGGTGGGTGTCAGCCTTGAGGAGCGTGTCCCAGCCACACTTGCGATCCATCACCATCACCACGTCCTCATCCAGCAGCTGGCGCAGCAGGGCTTTCATGGTCTGCACTGCAAACCTGTGTGCAGAGCACAGCCCAGGTCAGGCGCAGAGCCCTGGCCCCAGCCCTGAGGGCGTGGCAGGGAGAGAGGACTGGGATGGAGCACCTGTTGGGGTTGGGGGGAAGGCTGCGCTGCTCCCGGCATTGCCCCCAGAAGGTCTCGACCTCCTCTGACATCTCCTCTGTGCTGATGAAAACTTGGAAGAGCAGAGTCAGAAGGAGGTGGGGGAGATTGTTCTTCACTCCCGCTGGGCACCAGTGCAGCTGGAGGATCTCCCAGAGTGCCACAGTTGCCTGCCAAAGACAAAGCACCCAGAGACAGCTCTCAGGGCCCAGATGTCCATGTGGTAGGGCCCCAGCGTGGCAGGGAGAGGCCAGGGGAGACACAGGGGGATCCCCCGGCCTGCTGGCCCTGAACTTGCCCCTAAGCCAGGGTTGCAGCCCAGTGCCTGGGGCAGGGAGAAGCAGTGGTGAGGGAGGATGAAAAGGCATCCCAGAGGAAAGCTGGGGGTGAGCAGAGGCCAGCTCAATAAACTCACAGCCAGGGCAAAGACATCGCTCTCATCCCCATCCGAGGTGCGTGTCCTGTGCGCTGGCCAGAATTCCAGCGCACGGAAGAGGATCTGCAGCACCGGCTCCTTAGTCCCTCTGGAGGAGATGAGCGTCCTCCACATGGTGCGAGCAGCTCTGTGGAGTCAGAACTCTGGCTCAGGGGGGTCTGGGACACAGCGCTGTGGCCTGGGCATCTGCAGGGCCCAGGTGACAGAGCCACGGTGCCTTGTGGGGCAGGGAGGCAGGCTGGCCTCAGGATTGGGGGCTGACATGCCAAAGCTGGCAAAGAGAGGAGCTGGAGTGTCCTGGAAGTCTCCATCTCTCTGGCACACCATTTGGGACAGGTTGTCCAGGGGGATGGGGTCAAAGGCAGGAGAGCCCTCAAGGCAGGTGGGCCCCATACCTGTCACAGGCTGGGGCAGAGCGCAGCAGGGTCACTGCAACATCCACAGGGTGTGCCTCGGTCAGCAGGACAAGAGTCTTGTCCAGCCTGTGCTCAGCAGACACATTGCACGTGAGCCACTGGTGGATGCACCTGACTATGGCCGGCACCTGGAGGGGACACAGGGAACGGTTGAAGAGCTGCCAGAGCCCGCAACTTGCCCAGCTTCCCCCAAGAAGTGCTCCCCTTGCCCCCACACTCTGCTGGTCTCAAAGGCTGAGGGGGCCCAGTGCAGCTGGCGTGAGGGGCCACAGCATCCCTGGGGCACTGGAGCCCTGGCCACAGGCTGCTTACTTGCTTCCCGTTGTAGACACCGCTCTCCACAAGCAAATCCAGCAGGGCAGCGCTGGTCTGGGCATTGAAGAGGTCCAAGTTTGCCGTGCCCCCATTGGCCACGAAAGTGGTCTCTTCACGCCAAATGCACCTGATGAATCTGCAAACCAGCTACAGGAGGAAGGCAAGGAAGAGATGGATGTCCCCTGGAGGGCTGCGACAGCGGTGCTGGGCTGAGCAGTGACAGCAGGCCCAGCCCAGGAGGGGATGGCTGCAGGTACTTGTGCTGCCCTGCGGAAGCGGCCACGGGCACGGAGCTGCTCTTCTGTCCGCTCCTGGCCTGCATATGGCAAAGAGCGAGCGCGCTCAGAGCTGAGGGTGTGCGGGAGAGGCCGGAGAACACAGCCCAGGCCTGGACTCCAGGAGCAGGCAGGGCCAGCCCCGGGATGCCCAGTGGATGGAGCAGGGCTGCCGGGAGATCAGCCCCGGCCCCTCTGCCCCCCTCCCTTTCCCTGGGCATGTCCAGAGGGGATGGGACAGGATGAGGTCAAGGGGGCTGCAGCCACCAGCCCTGTGGCCCAGCTCCAGCACTCACCCTCCTGTGGGGGCTGCACCTGCTGCACCTCTTCAGGCTGCTGTGCTGGAGCAGCCCCAGGGCTTTCCTCCTCCTCCTCCTTCACCCAGGCCAGCTTGGGCACCGTGGGGGGGCTCTGCTGCACGTCTCTGTCTGGCGTTATGGCTGCCTGCAGCAGAGATGCCATGGAAAAGCTTTGGCTCCCCAAGTCCTGCAGTCATGCCTTGAAGGCAGCTGCAAGAGTAAAACCTGGGAAATGCTCCGCCTCATCCAGTCCCACCCTCTGGCCTCGAGGGCACCTGCCCCAGGGACTGGAGATGCCCTGAGTAGCCCCAGGTGCCCAAGTGCCACAGTCTGGCCTGGAGGATGCACGGGGGAGAGGTGGAGAGCTGCCAGAGTGAGCAACTTGCCCAGCTTCCCCCGAGAAATGCTTCCCTTCCCAGCACACTGTGCCAGCCTCAAAGGCTGAGGGGGTCAGTGCACCCATCTTGGGGGGCCACAGGCTGCTTACTTCAGCAGAGACAGCTCTCTCCCCAAGAAAGTCCAGGCTGGGGGCATTGGCCAGGCGCTGAACAGGTGCGGCGTCAGTGCTCGCCACGCCCTCCGTCGCTGTGGCGTCGGCCTCCTCCGTGAGCCCAGGCAGCGCAGAGTCACAGTGTGACACGGCATCGCTCGAGGTGGTGTCCCAGTGGGTTGTGTAATCACTGGTTGCGGTGTCACACTTTGCTGTGCCAGGAGTCGCCGTGGTGCTGACATCAGGCTTTGGCTTCAGCTGGGTCGGGATGGTGTCAGGCTGAGCCTCGACATCAGCTGATGCGATCCTGGATTTCCTACGCCGACTCCCCACGAATTTCATAAACGTCTGCAGGAGAAAGAAGGGCAGGGAAGAGATGGATGTCCCCTGGAGGGCTGCGACAGCGGTGCTGGGCTGAGCAGTGACAGCACGCCCAGCCCAGGAGGGGATGGCTGCAGATACCTGTGCTGCCCTGCGGAAGCGGCCACGGGCACGGAGCTGCTCTTCTGTCCGCTCCTGGCCTGCATCTGGCAAAGAGCGAGCGTGCTCAGAGCTGAGGGTGTGCGGGAGAGGCCGGAGAACACAGCCCAGGCCTGGGCTCCAGGAGCAGGGCCAGCCCCGGAATGCCCAGTGGATGGAGCAGGGCTGCCGGGAGATCAGCCCCGGCCCCTCTGCCCCCCTCCCTTTCCCTGGGCTTGTCCAGAGGGGATGGGACAGGATGAGGCCAAGGGGGCTGCAGCCACCAGCCCTGTGGTCCAGCTCCAGCACTCACCCTCCTGCAGGGGCTGCACCTGCTGCACCTCTTCAGGCTGCTGTGCTGGAGCAGCCCCAGGGCTTTCCTCCTCCTTCTTCCTCCGGAGCAGCCTGAGCAGGCTGAAGCGTCTCCCTGCCATGCCACAGTCTGCTGTCGAGGGCACCTGCAAGAGAGACGCCTCGGAGAAGCTCCAGTTCAATAAGTCCTGCCGAATGGCCTTGAGGCTACCTGCCACAGGGATTGGAGACGCCTCAGAGAAACTCCGGGTCTCCAAGTCCTGCAGAAAAACCTCGAGGGCACCTGCCACAGGGATTGGAGACAGCTCGGAGAAGCTCCGGATCTCCAAGTCCTGCAGCAGGGCCTCGAGGGCACCTGCCAAAGGGGTTGGAGACGCCTCGGAGAAGCTCCGGGTCTCCAAGTCACACAAAAAGGCCTCGAGGGCACCTGGTAGCGAGAAAATCCTCCAAAAAGCTCCGGGTCAGCAAGGCACGAGTTGGCTGCACGGGGGTTCTGCACAGCTCCGCTCTGTCCCGTCCTGTCCCGTCGCCTGCTCCGAAGAGCACTGTTGACACTGTGGCCGTGTCACCAGCAGCACCTCTGTCACCACGGGTCATAAAGGGCCCTTGGACACCCTGCCCCTTCCATTCCACCGGGCACACCCAGCGTGTCACAAAGGGCCCTGTGACACAGTGCCACGTGGCCTGGGGCCTCCCCCAGCCCGGCCAACCTGCCCCACTTTGGAGGGAATCCGCTCTCTGAAGTATCTAATCTGGCTGGACCTGAACTGTGGGAACGGCTCAAGAAATGAGCAAACACTCCCCTCCTGTGCCTGCTCATGGCAGCACAAGGAGCCCCCTCGGCCGCCGACGCAGCCACTGCGGGAAGGGCACGGGGCCTTCCACACAAGCTGCCACGGCCTCCTTGGGAGAAGTTCCCGCTGGTGGCCATCCTATACACGGGGGGTGTGACACCGAGAAGGAAGGTGTGGGAAAAGGCACCAATGCTGCTGGCAGCCCTTTGGCCAGGGCTGCACCCAAATCAGAAGCTGTGGCAAGTCCTGGCCCAAGGAGACCTGCCACCGCCCCGAGTCCTGGCAAGGGTGCTGCCCGTCTCCTACCCCAAAGAGTTGTGCCCTCAGGTATTAGTTCGTTGGAATACATGCCCAGAATGAAGACAAGTACAACAGACATTCAAACACTACAAAAAATCTTTTATTGCAGTGAGAATAAAAAGTAACTACTGGCAAAGAGAAACAAAAGCTAAAAAAATACAAAAAAACTGCTTTATCGCTTGGCATTCATACAATACTACGAACAGCTTTTATTATAGTATTAACTAGAAAAAAGGGAATTAAAAGGATTCCAAAAAAGGATATAAAACATTTGCT